AGTTGATCCATTTCCTTGTTTTCAGTAAAGTTTTCTTAAGAATTAAAGTCTTGCCCTAACGTAGTTCACATTACACATCACTGAAATTCAAAATGACTCACTACAATAGTTCTGAGAATGACTCCGCATAACAACCGCTTCATTCCATAAACATACAATCCTATTGTTCTTACGCAACTCCATCTTAAATAGAATGAAGCATAAATATTAATAATGCAGAGTTAATAGTAATTTTTTCTAACATGGTTCAATTAGTCAATTGCAAGAATATTCTAAATCACAATACTTGAATTAGTAAATCACAATATATATATATATATATAAAATTTAATATAATTGATTATGCACATATCTAAAATAATTAAATATCAGACTCATTAATCCCCTAATCTTTACCTGTAGTGAAAATTTACTTTTCAATCAAAATCATAAATGAAATGATTTTCATTTTAATAAAAATAAACTCACTGTGTCTTTCTTTTTTAGCCCTTTAATGGAAAAGTTGATTTTAACATAACTCATTCCCTCTGCAAACCTAGCAAACGGAAACGACACTTGAGGTATAAATTCGCCTGCAAATAACCGAAAGAAATTAATATCGCTACTGCTTACACTTTAAGAATTAAATTTAAATATCGTAGCAATTAGCCACTAGCTCAGTACGTTTCTACATAACTAACCTTCACAAACTGATTCGAATTGGCAATTTGGGACAAATTTGGCAAAACACACATAATCGTTTTCATAAAGACCCAGTTCTTTGAAAAGTGTAACGTTACTTATTGTAATGTTTAAGTAACCTTTATAGGGAATTGGAAAGTAAAAATGAAAATATTCACAGAAAACCAGTACCAGGATGTATTCCACAGGGTCCACCGACCAATTCACCAACCGCATAACAACTTCCATTTATTATATCAATGCGATAAAAGGTTCCCTTCACAATACCATTAAGTCTCTAAAATTAAAAAAGACCAATAAAACATCGATTTCATTGAATTTCTGCTTACACTATTTCCGTTCGTAGCAAATATCAGGGGTTTTGATTTCCCAGATGGCGTTGACACGATTCTCGAACAAGTTGAATAAGGCAACTCTATATCTTCCTTTTCGGGAGATACGGTTAACTCCAGAAATGCGAAAACAAATAGAATGCCAATCATGGGCTCTTTGGCGCAATTCAAAGTTTCCCACAGTTTAGGACATCCCTTTTACCAATGCAGCTATTTATTAAAACAGGCAAAAGTATGCTATTGGTGCAATGATGCAAGACCACCAAAATCTGCGATACTTGACCAGCCTCAGCCAACAGAATGACATACTATTTTTGTAGCGAAACATTTTCTTGCAACTTTTCTTAGCACCAATTAAATAGGAGGCAACACTTTATTTTGGGAAGGGGGGGGGGAGACATAAGGTAGATGCTACAATTTTGTTGGTATTACTCCAGAATATCTAGGCATTTATTTATATCAAACGGCAAGCTTTTTGATAGTCATCATTAGCCCTTTAGAGGACTTCGAGAGGGGAAACAGAAATGTTATTCACAGATGCAAAAGAGACAGACACAAAGGTAGAGAGTAGGGTGAGGTGAGTACGGTGTAAGTGGTTGGATTTGACATAGAGCCGGGTCCTGTTAGTTTGAAGTCAGAAATCAACTTTCGGTTTATAGACTTTATTGCCGTATGAGTACACGTTGCCCAGAGTGCACCACGTGGAGGCAAGTCTATCGCACACCCATATCTAGGCATAAGGCCAATTGAAAGTTTCATTTATATCAACAATAGTAGTGATGCGCTACAAGATTCAGACTTCGCAGATAGCTGGCAGTTCCAGTTTGACTCAAGAGTTCATTTGTGTATCTCTGAAGACCGCGCCTGTGGGGTAAAATATGGAGTACTTCTGAAGATTTCAAATCTGACCAAATGCCTCTCATTGGAAAACACGTAGCTAGCTTTAAAGAGTGTTAACAGCGGATCTTTCAATTAATTTTACACCAATTTCCAATTTAAAATTGCATGGTCACCCTAGATTCCTCTCTTCTTCATTTAACAAAAATTAAGACGTTCTGTTAAGTTTTCACGTCTTTTTTTAAGTACAATCAATTATTCCTAAGTTAAATTGAAATGGCAGAGTCATTTGGTCTGCAGTTTATTCAATAAAAAATAATAGAATTAACAGAATGAATGTGCTGTGCTTAAGCAATAATAATGCATATTGATTTCTACGTCTAGTTACTTCTACAAGTGTTCATTTCATTTTTTTTCTTGTTTCACGTTTAGATTCTAAAGTTTTCTAAAATACCAGAGAATAGTTCAGTAACCGTACACATTCGATTGGCGGTTCTCGATACACTTTAATCCCACATCTCAAGGTCATAGTTAGCTTTATGGATTTTGTAATTCGTGCATGAAATTCCAAAATTCAGATATCTTCCATAATTAGCAGTATTCTTCATACTTGATGGCGACTTAATTTGATTATTTAGTTTTTACCCTAAGTATATCGAATTTCAACACTACCGATCGGATTTCTCATAGTCATTTGAGAATTCTTGACATCAAAAATCGGATAAATAATTTATTTTTTGTTTTAAGGTAGGTTGCGATTCACCAGTTTCATTCTTCCACTTTACAACTAGAATAAATAAGTTCTTAAAGAGGGTTCTGTGTGAAACACTAAATAATTTCAAATTCTTAATTTAGTTCAATTAATAGCTTTTTTTATTGAGGGAATGCAAAGATTTACAATAATATTGTCAGCTTGATTACATTTAAATGACGATTCCTTGTGTCCTCTTAAATTTATCTCTAATTTAACTTTATTAAGTAAATTTATGGAAATTGATTGCCTGTTATTGAATATTCATGGAGAGTTCAATAAATGGTTTGTGAGGTGTGCGATAGACTTACCTCTACGTGGTGCACCCTAGGCAATGTATACTCATATGGCAAATAAGTCTATTAACTGGCAGTTGACTTCTGGCTTCAAACTACGTCTATTAACTGGCAGTTGACTTCTGGCTTCAAACTACCATCACGCCACTGCATGTCGTATTCCACCACTTCCACACTACTCACCTCGCCTTACCTTGTTCTCTACCTTTGTGTCCATCTGTCTCTTCAGCATCTGTGAATCACTTTTCTCTTCCCCCTCAACTTTTTGGGATTGATGTTCCTCCCCTCTGTGAAGCCCAAAGTCAACTTAAGGGCTAATGATGACTATCACTAAGCCTGCCATTTGATATAAATAAATAAATGGTTTGTTGAGTATGTTGAGCATAATATCAGTTCAAATAAATGAATATATATATATATATATATATATATATATGTAATGAAAAACAAATAAGTAAAATAAATAAAAAATTAGATGTGAGATTACACTTCAATGAAACACAGTTTTTTGTTTACAAATGATGATAGGTGTAATGTCCTTCAATCCGTAGTTCCTTTTTTGCTACCAATTTAAGAATCATATTTTTTAAAGAGAAAAACACGGTGCATTTAAACAATTTCAAGGTTAAAACCCAATTCATTTTAGACTCACGATTCGAGGATTTCATATTTTGTGTGTCATTTGCCATTTGTGCCACTTACAGTAAAAAAACGCTTCCATTTCAGAGCCTAAATCTTTTCTCCCCTAAGGATAAATATTCACCACTCAACGTTGCATAATAACTTGGCTAATTAAACAGTTTGTTTTTCGATTTCCTAACTTCTCTTTCCTTGATTTGACTTCAATACCATTTATTTTAAGATAATTTTGTCCTCTAGTTAAAATATATTTATTTATTTATATAAAAATGGCAGGCGTTACGATAGTTGTCATTAGCCCTTTAGCTGACTTCAGGCTTCACAGAGGGAGAGATGATTAGTTTGAAAGTAGTCGATTGTGACATACAATGGGGTGTTGGTAGTTAGAAGTGAGAAGTCAACTGCCGGTTTATAGACTTCTTTGCCTTATGAGTATACGTTGCCCAGGGTGCACCACGTGGAGGTAAGTCTATCGCGCACGCTCTAGTCAAAATATAATTAGCATGGAAATTATTGTGTAATAAAATTGAGATTGACACAGGTATATGGGACTGCTGTAAATAAGACAGGAATTGCATTTGCAGTTGAGTATGAATTTATGTGGGTAAACAATTTAGGTTTAGTGTCAAGGCCATTTGTGCCGATGTAGACTTATAGTGGTGTAGGAGGCCAAATAGGGAAGAATCAAAACTTGGATTTCATTTTAAAATTTTAAATGGATAACAAACACAAAGCATGGTTCTGAACAATGCATGGAATATCATTCTGGAGTTCGATTAAGGACCTTTAAATTGTACATTGACATGTCGTTTAAGTTTCAAAATCACACACGCACACACACAACCGCTATCACCTTACCAGCACAATTAAGTATTATTTTGAGGTCATTTGCCTTGTTGTTTGAAGAGAATTGAATTCAATTGCATCTTGATTGAAATCAATAAATGCTTTGAATGCTTATAGGAATATATTTTGCTCCGTAAATGTTTAATTCGACGTGATAAACTGAAGTTATTTGCTTAATGACATAAAATGAAAATCCCCACGCCAGAAATGTAATTAATTTGTGAAAATTGTTCATTCCCTCGTGCTATCTAGAGACAGTTATTTAGATTCTTGAAAGAATCAATACAGAAACTCTTTTCTACAGAGTAAATAAATTCATTAGAGAGAAGTTGAATTGGAAAAAAATGATTGGCTGACTAATAGTGAAGCTGATAGTGCTAATCAGACAAATTAAAATTTGAAATTAAAAATAAAGTTTGATGGTTTAGTTAATGAGGGATGAGACCACTAATTCACCAAGTGTACTTTTAGTGAGGTGAATCGATTTTACAATAAGAATTTTATTGGGCTCCCCGTCTAATCTTCCATATAAATTTTGTTACTAGAACTCACGGAATCATGCGAAAAATATTCAAAAGTAATGTAAGATTCACTGCATTCAAATCTTATTCAAAGGCATTACGCCTTAAGTTTGCAAATCGTTCTACCAAAGAGGCATAGTGAAAATTGCTTTAGCTGATAGAAGACCACGAAGGTATGAAGTAAACGAGTATTGGGAGCAGCATTGTCGCTTTTTTCGAAGAACAAAACTCGATGAGCTCGACAGCAACGAAGAAGATCACTCAAAGAGCTTTGTCCTTCAGGAGTGACTCCCCAGGCATTGCAGACTTGAATAACTTTGGAATTGCAAATGTAGACGTTGATGCTCATGTCAAACAGTCAAGCGTATGTTTCATGACTAAATCTTGATCAATTTACACTGAAAACCATGCACTTCAGGAGCTAGTGCCTACTTTTTGGATAAATTTTTATTAAGTTATTTTAAAAATACCATAACTGTCATACAATTGTGCCAGTCGAATCGTCTCAGAAAAGGCCCAGGGGGGAGGAGGTATGTATACACTGAAGACGGCAATTGGCACCTTGAAGGAATAAAATATGGTAAGGATTTAGATTAATAAATACCCTAATGACGCCGTAGGGAAAACATAGGCTCCGTGTTAAAATCAATACTATTAACTGATACAGAAACGCCATTTTTGTGATCAAAATATCACAAAATTTTTAAAACAATGAAATCAATATCTCCTTCTACTTTGCTTTTGTCCTTAAAACCTGTAGCGGATTGCTACACTAGTAAAGCCTGACTGACTCAGAAATCTCTATGGCAGATCCTCCTACTTCTAGCTAGACTCCCAGAACCAGTTAAGCTATAGCCCAGCTATAAAGGAAACAGACGTGTAGCACGGAGCACGTTTATTCAGTACGGGTATTGGGGATAAAGTGTACACGCATGGAGCTACTCATGATCAGGATGGGGGATTAGGTTAAACAGAGGTTGATGATTGGTCACTGTTTGTACGGTCGCTGCACACAGAGTTGTACGGCGCACCTCCCAATCCTGGCGAGCAGACATGCAGGCATACGTTGAAGCACACAGCGAAACGTGTCCCACAAACTCGTTTGCC